TCTGAGTGGCAATTGGCAAACTTTTACATAGGGAGGGTAGAAACAGCTAAGGGCAGCCTGCAGTGCCATCCAGCTTGTAATGGGTGCATAATAAACATGATATACAAGATACATCCTATTGACGAAATAATGACTGGTTATCATGAAGTAGCTGTGTTAATGCGCTCTTGGCTGAGGACGAGGGAGTGGCAGAGGAGCGGTTTTATCTATTATCTTGAGCTATCATACACATGCAGCACGGGGAGATGCAATGCTAAATGTTCACTCATCATACAAAAGAATGAGGTAGCATGATATTAGGAAAATAAAAAATTCATTGGATACACAAAGAGTACGGAAACAACATAATTCATAACTATCATTTACAAAGGAATTCTATTGAGGGGCTGCATACAAAAATACAGAAGAGCACAGATAAGAAATGTAACAAAAAAAAAAAAAAAAGAAAAAAAAAAAAAAAAAAAAAAAAAAAAGAAGAAGAAAAAAAAAGTTATATTCATGGTGGCTGGGTGGGATGTACGTGCACATGAGCTGTCTGGAGGTAGTGACAGGAACTGCTTGGAGACTATGGCATGTAGGGATGTGTGCAGTGAGTGATGGTGGGGGATTGGGGTTGGGAATTAGGGGTGAGGTGGAGGGTTGGGTGGGGTAAGGGGCCGAGTGGGCAGACACTATGGTGTGTAGTGTTTGTACATTGAGCTCCCTGAGAAACAAACCCATAGAGCCTGCCCACCTGACCTCGCAGAGTGGAGAGTAAACAGCAGGTCCCTGCCCCACCTGACCTGCGCCCTCTATGAGGTAGAAAACATGTGCATGAAGCAGGGCTCTTCCCTTGCACTATGCATCCAGCCACACCTGGCCCACTAGAGCTGTAATCACAAACTCCACACACAGGATAAGAATCATAATTTTAAAAACTACTCTTTCCAGATAAATGTTTGCTTATTAGAGAGGAGTGTGTTATTTATCAATATGAAACATACACTTAAAATTTAAATTAATGCACTTATTCACTCGCACTCTCTCTCTCTCTCTCTCTCACACCCACACACCCACACGTGTTACATATTTTACAGAGTTACATATATTTATGCATGTACACACGACCAAGGCTGTATAAACATACTTACAGATGCATTCATCTGTACAATCCCAGCCTCACTCACTCACTCACTCACTCTCTCTCTCTTTCACTCACTCACTCACTCACTCACTCACTCACTCACTCTCTCTCTTTCACTTGCTCACTCACTCACTCACTCACACACAAAGAGATGAGAATTTATTTTCAAATTACTTTCACATGGATTTCAATTGATTTAATCTTTTGGTTATGTTCTTCCTGATGCTAAAGTAATTGATTTTACATAGTCTCAAGGGTTCCATCTTATTCATGAATAATGTGTGTATTCATGCTAACCAATCACAAAAAGTTTTCTTTAAGGTGTATGTATATATGAGTGTGAATGACTGTGTGTGTAACATAGAAAGAGAATATATTAAAAGCACATATAATTTTCTAATGACAGTTTTCCTTTCAGCAGTGTAGTGTGAGTACTAGTTCTAGTAGGCCGTCAAGCAGGGGTGGCTGGCTGTAGAGTGCAAAGTATCCCTCACCTGAGCCGCTAATGTTGGCACCCTTTCTGCTAACAAAACTAACTTAGCAGTGAGATAAACATAAGTTCATAATAATAAAGACAATATTCTTCAGTGGGCAACAAATACGTATATCGGGTATCTCCGCACGCTGTCATTAACTGGAGCTCCACACAGTAACTGAGGTAAAAGCCTGAGCTATGTTTCTTACTTGGGAGGAAGGGGGTTCGCATCACTCTGCACAGCCAATCTCCTGCTCATCAGCCAGTTGATTCACCACATCCCTTTCTTAGTGTCAAGTTTTGATACAAAACCATGAGGGAATTCTAGAAATGCTGAGAGCAGTGGTCTGACTACTCAGAGTGCTGCATGGTTGACTTATTACAATCTGTACAACCGCAGATTGAGAAAAGCACTGAGATTGTTTCAGTAGTCCTACTTGGGATTGAGTTAACCAGTGTATATAGTTAGTAAATGGAATATGATTTGTACTAAATATTAAAACAAGTCTTATGTATGAAACTCCCATCTCAGACAGCTACGTCACGCACACAGGAGAGCAACCAGGCTGAACCCCTGCATAGGACTTCAGCAGGAAGGTTCCAACATTTGCCAATGGCACCACACCTATGTATGTTACAAGCATACACCTTTTGCCCTGAATGTTTGAACAATTTTCTAATAAGGCAAATCAGTACAGATAGCCGTTTAACAAATACGTTTTCACGTAGTTCCTGATAAACAGCATTAATGTATATGTATGAATATACATACATGTGTAAATGTATATAAAGTTGTATTTCTGGAAAAGTATCAGTGATAACTGCACATATATAAACATCTACTGAAATACATGTGTCTTATAATTCAATGGAGTGTATTAAGTTCCTAATTTACATGTGTGTGTGTGTGTGTGTGTGTGTGTGTGTGTTGTGTGTGTGGTGTGTGTGTGTGTTGTGTGTGTGTGTGTGTGTGTGTGTGTGTGTGTGTGTATCTATATATATTCTTAGAGGTGTACAGCATATATATATATATATTCATACATATTTTCATATATATAAACGTGTGTGTGTGTGTGTGTGTGTGTGTGTGTGTGTGTGTGTGTGTGTGTGTGTGTGTGTGTATGTGTGTGTGTGTGTGTGTGTGTGTGTGTGTGTGTGTGTAATGGATGTGTGCTTGAGTATGTGTATGTATATTGTATGTGTGCATGAGTATGTATATGTATGTCACTCACGCACACATGCACGCGCATGCACACACACTAACACACACACATACACGCACACATGCAAGCATGCACACACGCAAGTACGCACACATAACACACATGCAAACACACATTTTGTATATACATACACACACACATATACATATATATAATTCTAAAAATCATTTATATTAAATTTGCTGTACAAACCATAGATTTCTAGGAGCAACATTACATTATATAAGCAGGGCTGTGAAGATGCTGTGGTGATGTATTTGGATAAGAGGTTAGCCCGGGCTCTGCACTGAGAGGCGGATGATACAAGTACTACTTAAAATTGCCGCTAATCAGTCAGTATGTACCTGTTTTCGCAATCTATGCCTTGAATACTGCATGAACTTCATCATCCAGCTGGAAAACATGATGTGCAGATGGAGTGAGATGATGTTTGTGAATGAATCGGAGTGGCACAAGGTGACTAAACGGTAGCAATTTAGAGAAGTAGTACAGCACCACTTACCAGAAGTCTGTATGGAATGCAATATGGATATGTGGGTGAAGGACCATGAAAACTTCCTCAGGACTTGTTGCCAAAATTTTGATGCAAACTGTTTCAAATTTGTGTCATGCAAATTATAAACATAAGGTTATGCTATCAATTTCAATTAGCAACTACATGTTATTCACTACATATTATATCACAGTAATTTATTAAATGAGCATAGCACTCTTTTGAGAATTATTGTGTCTATGAGAAACTATTTCTGCTACATAAATCTTAAACAAGTAAATCATCAATTGAAATTAGGCATGTATTCAATCCTTCACCCACATTGAAAGGGCTGATAACATGGTAAATTGTTGTTCAGCTAGCTTTGCTATGTTATAAGCACTGCATGTGATCTTGTGGTACATAAGAGAGAGAGGATGATTACATGATGTTCACCATTTAATGACCTGACACCTGTTGCTTGTTAGGCGGAAACAGACACAAGAGATACAATATCTAAACTATTATGATTTTAAATATCTGCCTCTGAGTCTAATAAACCCCTATTTTCTTCTCGTTTTATTCTTAATATTTGTTTTTTGACTTGGTGTCACCAAGTAATCATCTTCCCATTTTCTGCACTTAGTAGATGCTCTTGGTATGAATCTCCCTGATTTCAGACTGCAATGATTAACAGTAAGAAACAAGAAACAAAAAACTAACAAAAAAACACATAAATGTTATAATGTAACTGCTGCCTAAAATTGATTTACATGTAAAGGAGTATTAACCCATTACTCTTGTACTACTGTATGTTATATAAAACAGCAGACCAATCAAACATGTCAGAATCAAAGGTGTATTACAGTCCTATCAAAAGAGGTGAGAAGAGATTACCATCCCTGATACAAATATGGCGAGACGCTGAGGTGGTGAAGACGTGAGAGGGATCTTTGGGGCTGTATGGTTGCGGGGGGAGGGGCAGGTATGCCGTTATTTGCCAGGATAATCCCTGATACCTTGTCGTCAGAGAAATGAGGGAGCACCCTGGACACAGCTCTCAAGTCACAATTTACAGATAAAAAATGACAGGAAAAATGATAATTTGTACTCCTTTCACTCAGCCTCGGTTTTAATTTGTACCGCGACTTGTTTGTCAGGGAACACTGAGCCCATACTGTGTGACTGAGAGCCATATCCATGATCGCAACAATGTACACACCAACTAACAACTAGCTGTTAGTGGCTACAGTGTGGTGCCAGACCCAGCCCCGCTCATATGATGGTCTCAAGTACCCACACTGACATTTGTACACTTGGAGCAAGGCACACGCATCAATTCCACTGTGGGCTGGATGGGCAAATTTGCCACATACCATCGCAGCAGCTGGGCCAGGCCTTGTATACGTATCAATACCCGCATCAGACCAGAGGAGACTCTCCGTGATAGGGGCCTGCGAGGGTGGGTAGCTGGGCACTATACCCAGGCACCTACGTAGCTACTGCACTGTTGTGAGTGGGGGTTGCGGGGATGATGTTTTTGTTGCACTCGTAGTATGATGGGAATTGTGTTGGTATGGAGTGCTCGCATCCTGGGAGCCAACACTATCTGCCATCATTTTCTCTGGTTCCATCTCCACATCACTTTCCGTGGTACTTAGAGTAGTGAGGTTAGTGAGATTGGCAAGCCCAGTTTGTGAGGCTCCACTATGGTTGTGTTCGTGTCGTGGAGATGGAGGTAATGTAACTTTGAGAATGATTTGGCTCACTGCCACCTTGTTCAGCTTCCCTCTGCTCTTGGCTATGATTTTGATAAACTTGGGGGAGGACACTCATGCTCATGGCACCATTGCTGCTGCTGGCACCTATCACCAGCCGTTCGCTCTCCTCTGACGACAAACCCTGCCAACAAGAAAATTGCCTTGGTTAGGCTGGAGTTCCTAAATATGTGAATGCGTGATCTTTTTGTACCAATTTACAACTAAAGCAAACTTAACATAGACTTACCTTCGTCTCTGCATGAGGAACTGCTTGCAGCTGATCTCGGTTTCTGACAACGAAACCATTGCACCTTGGGTTATTCATTCCATTCATACGAGTCTCTGGATATCCTCCCTGTTAACAGCATAGCTGTGTTAGACCCTTTATATAAAACTCTTCTTTTTTAAAGACCTACATAATTTTTTTTTTTAATAATTTCATGCTGATATACATTACCTCTAAAAAGAAGAGATATTTGGATGCTGAAACTTTGCAAAATGACTACCAAATTAGGTAAAAGAGTCCAAACCAAACTTTGCATGTTACATCTTTTTATAAACTGAAGCTATCATTAAATTTAAACTGATTACTTTATTATGTGCACATAGGTGACTCCCTCATCATGAATCTCAGACACCAGCATCCACACCGACCTAAACCTATACAGTGTCAATCAATGAGAAATACATACATTTTCAGCCTTTACCAACAATTTATAAGACCAAACATCTTTTCTTAAAATCAGTATTTGGAAAAAATAAACCCATCTGTGGGTGTTGTGTGGATACCTCTAGACTATCCACATGTGGTTAATATCTTTCTAGAAGACTATTTAACTCATTCATGAAAGGAAAATGTAGTGTTCGCTGTAGTATTGTTTAGTGAAATGTCTTTATGCATAGATGGTTCCACAACAACAAATGCTTCTTATCTAGATGCTGTTATAATTATCATTATTAAAGACATTGCAATCATTATAATGTTATTGGCATTACTGACAGCAATATAAGATCAAAGAGAATATATGTATATATAAAAAAGAAAAGGGTAAACTGGTGAGCTAGAAAATACTAGTAATTGGCTCATTGGTGACTAATTACCTGTGGACCATCTTAGTGTAAAGACAATCAATAGACTAAACTCATAACGAACATGGCACATACATACATAGTGTCCCCAGCAGTACTGGGTTAAGGGGACTGTCCCTGGTAGGGGGGGGGGGTCGGAGTGGTTAAAAATGAGTTATGGTCAGTTTCATATTCGTACAAAAGTGTAGAATTACTCATGTGAATATAAACTCCCGCAACAAAAAATCTAAGCAACACGCAAGACCAGAACCCTCTGTCTCACTGCTGCTGTGTCACCGATTTTCATCCTTCTGCACGCTCGCTTTACAGGAGTGAATATGATGCATTGTATTATGCCATTATCTACTGAACTGGATCACAGGAGGATAAAAGTGTCTTATTATAATAGTTTCTTCCCAAAGTGAAAGATTTATGATATGAAAAAACAAATAAAAATAAAAATTATGTGACTTTAAAAATTTCTTTCCAATAAAATAAAATACATATGATTTGATTTAGACATATTCATCATACAAGTATGTTTAGGTGACAATACATGAGCAGTTACAAGTCTGTATCTCTACAGACTTGTAACTTCAGACTTGTGTTAATGGCTGTCTTGGAGGGACTCAGCTGACAGAGTTCCAAGCATCATCACTGCTTTTGACTTTTCTAATTACAATAATTTTATGTTTGTGCTTTCATTTGAAACTAACTATTCAGTTAAACAACATTATGTCATTATAAATCCAGTTAACAAAAAAATTAAATCTAAAGACAGGGTATTACTTCTTTGTGTATACTCCTAAGATAGGGCTACAAATTTTTAACACCTGTTGTTACATCACAAGACATGTCCACGATAAACGAATATAAGTGATTTGTATTTCAAAATATTTTTGATATATCAACATTTTCAGAACAGTTATTTCTAACAAACAAGAAGTACTCGGCTTGTGACTAAACATTTATTGCTTGTTTTGAGGTGGAATCACATGGTTAAATGATGCAGAAGATGAGTAAAATGGAATAAAAGGAAAATAAATAAATAAAATAAAACATTATTGATCTATAACGTGAATAAAAGAGGTATAAAACAAGAAACAACCAATTTTATATAATGTTCATTTTGTCTTGGGTCTTGACTTAACCCTTTTCATGGAAGTCATTTGTTTGTTTGTTATCATAAATTAAGAGACTAATGATCATACCTTTATGCAACAAAGTGCATTTGAAGGAGAAATGATAGTAGTTTCTATGCTAATGACATGATAAAGATTCTTAAAGAAAAAAAAAAAAAAAAAAAAAAAGACACATGTTTAACAATTTGAAATTAACTGTATAAGAAAATGCAAGGAAAAATTACATTCTATGTATTCATTTCTGAATTGAATGTTAATGCCCTCATATATCTATATTCAAATATCAAAATTTTTGTTATCTTGTTTTTCAATTTTTTCTTTTTTAAGCTTCAGTTGACCCCTTGTCCCAGTTCTTAAAATTTTGAAAGTATCTTTGTAAACCTCTCAAAAATGTACACACAATTACAGATGGGATTTTTATAATTTGCTCCCGTTTTCTTTTTGTACAATAAAAATATATATATATATATATTTTTTTTACATCACTTTTTATGAGGAAACTAAGCAGAATTTTCCAAAAAGCCACCACAGATGTTATAGGAATTAACTGATGTTTATTTACATTTTTTTTCATGACATAATTCATAATCCTCTGGGATGAGGATAAACTGTGCAGACATGTGAAAAAACAAAAGAAGTTTTTTGTGGGGGCACATCACCCTTCCATAAATTTCAAAAGATGCAGAATGTTAAAATACATCAAATATCCAAAAATCAAGTAAATCCGCAGGTCCACTTTTTTTTTTTTTAATCTATATGACCCTCTAAACTCCCTTGTTCCTCCCTCCCCACCTCCAGGGACAGTCCCCTTAAATATTCAAAATTAAGCTTAGATGTGGATGCTAAAATCCCTAAAAGCAAAATGCACAATAACTTCAAAATACTTATATTGTCACCAGAATTTAATTCAACTTGATATTCAATGCACATTTTGCTTTATGGAATTTATCCTCACTCACACCTTATACTAATATTCATCACACTGAACATAAACCGTAAACAATTTTCCTGAAACAAGAGACAAAAGGCTTTAAAGATTTTCAAAACTTGAAGTCTTATCATCTAGTGATATTCAGCTACAACTAAAAAGTCTGTTTTCCAGAGCATGTACAGTTGGTGGCCCCATAAATATGTGGCCACGCTGTAAGTATCAAACTGGGATTTTATCTGACTGTACTTAGTGCATTCAAGTATAACAGTATAATGCTTATTATCAAATAAACTATGAAAAAAAACAAAAAAACTTTGTCACTCATGTTTAAATATTTGAAATTAACTGCAAAAGGAAATACAAGGAAAAATGACATTGTATGTATTCTTTTCTGAATTGAATGTTAATGCCCTCACATATCTATATTCCTTAAATACTGAAATAATGTTCCAAAAAAGATTAAATAAAATAAAATGATAATAGATAAATAAATGAAATAAATATAAAAATGAACATATATACAATATAATTGCTTATATTTATGTTTCCTTTTCATAACAGTCAAAAGTCAATTACTATCAAACCTCACTGTTTGTTCATCTGAAGAGCAAAAACAGATGCTCTATATATTCATTAGTTCTCTCTAGTTCAATCATGAAATGTTAATGTAACATATATTTCATGTAATACTTATAAAACCTTGTTTGATATGTATGCTACTTTCATATCTGTCAGGAAGCTGCAACCCTGATAAAGCCTAAATGGAGTAATACCTCATAGATAATTGCAAATGTCAGATGTTGTAAAACATTGTGTAATTATTATGAATAACATGAGTTTACAGGGTATCATCATGAAAGAGGTTGTGAGTACTGCATATGCAGGGAAGCCCACAATTACTAAATGTGACAGGACATCACTGTCTCATTAACTGAGGGGTGACTTCCGACCTTGGCCCCGCAGAGGTGGTCTTTGCACAGGTAGATCTTTATTTTTTTACCAAGTTTCTTCTCTAGGAATCAGGGGCCGGATACTCAAAAGAGCCTTAAACTTAAGGCACGTTGGAGTCCTTAACTGTCCTGTGGCGCCTTAAGTCACGGCTAGCCTAGAGCACTGTATCTCAGACTTAGCTTCCTATACACAAATGTTTTTTACAGTGCCTTCTCCCTGCCTTAAACCCTGCACCACCGCAAATCACTTATGGCATCAGATCTTCAATGGCCAATCACAGCTGCTGTTTCAGGAAGTTCTTATAGAATATTGACCAATCACAAGCTGTAAATGCTAATCAGCTGAGTTTGTAGACACAACACAGTTTCCAGTCTGAGGCATAATGAATTTTTTTGACTATCATGTTCTAAAATTAGTAACATGGAAATATGCAAGCTTCCTAATGAAAAAGAATGACCTTATTAACGGAGTGAAATTTAGGAATGAAGTGCTGTTTCCTTGAAAGCAAGACCTTGCTCAAAAGGATGAATAATATTACAAGAGTAATATTAGGTTTGAATTTTCATACCAAGCAATTGCCACTTGGAACAAGTTTTAAAGTCTTAACTAAGTTTGCATATGTAAAGTAATCTCCTTTTTCTGTGAATCATCGTGATTCACAGAAAACCACAAACTACGTTAACAATAATGAAAATAATGACATTAACAGTTATAACAACAAAGATATGGGAGTACAAGTAAAACCATTACATCCAAGGCAAAGACAGTATTTATGCTAGTTTTAGTATAATTCCTTGTTTACAGCTACAACACTTGGATGGGAGTGAGATACACAGCTATTGGCAAAGGCAAATAAGTTATATTGGAATATAACACTTGCTCCCTTATTTACTTGTCCATGACTGGTTTATGCACACATAATAACAATATAATTGAGCAAAACACAAATTGTAAGGTTGTACTAATTGTTCTAAGGCTGAAAAATGTCATTTATGGTTTGCCATAACTCACTAAGGCTGCTCTCCACTGGCCTTACTCTAAGGTGCCTTAACCAGTACCAATATGGCGGGTCCCTTGTTCTGTGTATGGGTTATAGGAACATTTGGCTGTAAACTACGGTGCCTTAACATGTTTGAGTATCCAGCCCCAGGAGTGGTTGAGGCTGATCATTGTGCATTCACGTTTGACTCCGCTTAAAAAAAGAAAGCAGGGTAGTCTTTCTTTCTAAATTCAGTGGCTGGAATGTAAACATGTATTGGAACATGTATATATATATGTGTATGTATATATATATAAATATAAATATAAATATAAATATAAATAAATAAATAATATATATATATATATATATATATATATATATAATTATATATATATATATATATATATATATATATATATATATATATACATATATACACATATATATATATTCTGGACTTTAAATTCTTATTGTATTTATATTCATTTTCACATTGTAGTTTTTGTTTCTTGGTTCTCCATACTTCCCTATGTGTTTGTGGACATGTATATAAATAAAAAAAAAAAAATCCTGAGCCCTAACAACTAAAGAATGAAATACGATTCATACTGCATCCACAAATCATCTGTGATGAAAGAGTGAAAGGATGAATAATGGGGCAATGAATCGTGGAGACCCTCTGCAATTATCCATTTTCATATTCTACTTACTTGTTATCATTTCTTCTTAATTCATTATTATTTCTTTAATTCACAAAGCATTTATCCCTTAGCAAGTGTACGCTGCAACCTAAGTGAGCAAATTAATATTTGATTTGGAAATTAAGAAGGGGAATGCCTCTTTCATCATATATTTTCTTATACATTTAATTTCAAATATCAAAATATGGGTGAATAAGATTGTTTAAACTTCTTTCATATTTAACAACAGGGTTTATACTGTTTTACTTGACTGTACTAGTGTTAATAGATAAAATCCCAACTTGATAATCATAGTTTGGCCACAAACTTTTTCAACCACTTGTACCATGACACTGCAGCACAAAATGATGAAAAGGTCCTATTTACCTTTGTATCCAGTGGAGTGCACTTGAAGTCTGGGGGTATCTGTGTTAGCATTGGGATGTATACTTCCATCTCTTGGCAATCTCCATCAGCCTGACCATCTGCCTGCCCTATTTTGACAACCTGTGTATTGCGTTTGCCATTGATGTGGCCATTTCCATTGCATGCCAAAACCCGCGGGGATGATGAGATGTTGCGGACTTTGACTGCATACAAAGATGCAACTCCAATGATTGTAAGTAGAAAAAATGCCGTAACCAAGCATAGGATGAGATCTGAAACAACAGTTTTATCTTAAGTATACAGAAGTTTTATTCTGTGTTTATATACATATACAAAACACTAAATTAATTATAATGTTAAATGAATCCAATCTGTTGTTTAATTGGATAGTATGTATTTACAAGAAGAGAATAGTTAAAGATTCTCTAGTCAATCTTTATCAAAATGTAAAACCAAGTAAATTCTACTTTGCATTAAACAAAGAAAAACAAAATTACAAAAGGAAGAAGGTTCAGCTTTTCTCTATGAAAAAAAAAATATATATATATGCAAATTACAAATGGTATTAACTAAATGCCTAACATAACTAATCTTATCATATTGGTAACTGAATATTGTTTCTTCTGTCTTAAGACCAGCACAGGTTTGAAACAATAATATATAAAATAAATTTAGTCACTTGATCTTGCACTGGAATGTGATCATATAAAAACTGATCTGTTCCATTTAGTCACATTACAAGGAGAGTACATGTATAATGGAAAATTTTATGGGGGTGGCACATCTGTCTATAAGACATCCTCATAATCAACTTTAAGGGAGTGGATATAAATATTACAAATTTAAACCAGTAATATTCACTAATTACTGGTAACCAGAGGGTTACATGATAAAAAAATAATAATAATAAAAATAAAGTAAAACAAACCATAATATTCATGATTTGAAATATATGTCTCAAAGAGTACAATGAAAATACTCTTACAAAATTCACTGGAAGGTGCTTTTTGATCAGGTGGAAGAATGGCAGGTATTGTAGCAGACAAAGGTTCGGTACTCTCTCCACATCCAACTGCTGAGCAGCCACGAATGCGAAACCAATACTCTGTGTTCGACACAAGTCCCCCAACCTGCAAGGGGAAATAGGAAATAATAATAAACAGAAATGATAGTGAAATAAACAACATATAAGGGTGACTGGGAGAATATAGTATTGCTGAAAAACAAATGTATTTCAGGGTTGGAACTTAGAAAGAAAAATTAAACAAAAAGGTAATAGTCATAATTATAGATAATAAATCTACTAATATTCAAGAAGAATTGATCTTAGACTCTACAGGTGAAAGACTAGAGTACAATATTTTCAAGAAAAAAAATTATTTTCAAAACATTTTATCAGCTGATTGTATAACCTATATTTCTAGCCTGTACTAATAACTTCACCACAAAAGCAACATTTCTTTTTTTGACAATAACATGTAAGGCACAAAGTAACATACACATATTTTTCAGACTATGAGAGGGCTCAAGATGTTAGGTCCATTACTGTGATTTACTTGATTTACAGAAACAGTTCCAAAATCTAACTTTGTACATGAAAATAGTTGTGGATGAAGTCCTGTTAAGAAAAAAAAGAACAGAAATAAGAAAGAACTAGCCAAATTCATTCTCTTTAAGATACCTAAACTTTATTCCTGAAATGCCAGGCCTTATGCACTTTATCTCTGGGCATGCCTGTGAACATTTGGTCAACAGATGTCCAAGTATGTTTGATGACTGAGCTAGTAGTACACTAAACTAAAGGTGGTGGTGTGTGAGGCATTTCTGTGTAGCTGTAAGCATGGAACGGCTGACCAAAGAGCTGAAGTGGGGCTGGCGATGCAAGGGAACAGGCATGATTGTGAGGTAGACAGGCTGACTTGAGTTGGCTATTGACCAAGTGTTAAAAAAAGTGCTTTGGCATCGAGGGGTTGAAAGAAGTAAAATAATTATAAAGAACACTGAAATGTCCATGGCTTTCATTTGTATCCTCTTTCTGTCTCAATGGTAAGATAAACTTTTGAAATGTTTATTGTGGTTTGAAATACTTAAATCCCAAAGTAGTGACATTGTTACATTATTTTACCCTTTGAGCACCACATTTGGATATAGCAGCATTGAGATTTTTGGCACAAGCATTTTATTTAACCTTACCCTCAGGGTTAAATATTAATTTCCCCTTTTATGGAGAAAAGACTCATGGTGCTAACCATGAGCATTCAAAGGGTTCAACATAACACACTCCCCCCTCACCGAAATTGTTAAAAGTGCTTTATTCACCATGTTAATGTGCTGCGACAATATTCCTTCTCCTCATCAATACCTCACCAAATAACCTGTTATTTATATACAAGCCTACTTGACCCAGGCCTAATGGTACAATAAATAAGCTGTAAATGAAACTATTGTTCTTAATAAACAAGCTCCTGTAGCAGCCTATTCATCAACTGTCTTTGCTAGCCACTGAAATGCCACCTACTGAAAATATATTCTCCGTCAACTAGGTAATTTGGGTGGGGCAAGCCATGTCTTGGGGGAGTATCCTAATTCCATCCTAAATAATCCTCATTTAAGCTAATCAATTTTGAGGGGTGTTTTGAGGCTATATGGAATGGATTTTTTTTATGTACATTTTACTTATGTCAAGATTAAATCTTCCTTTGATGCATAGGAAATAGTATAATTCCATTTAGAGTGCAGATAGTCAAGACTCAATTTTAAATTTTTGAACTAAAAAATGTTTATTAATGTTAATGCAGTCTACAATAAAAAAAACTTTCATACATCTTAATATCCAATGTGTAGACAAGATTTTAATCACAAATATAAGTTGCATCATGCCTTTTACACTCTTATTTTTTAAGTAAAAAACATACTTTACTGACATCTATAACTCTTAATGATTATAGCAAAATCATTGTCAATGTGATGAGTTATCTCTGCATCTCTCCCCATTTATCATCGTAACACCTACTCACCGTATCTGCTGTGGCATCACCCTCTACCTCTTGCACATCCCACTCAGATAATGGCTTCTGCTTATCCAGACTGTAGAGAATTTCATACTTCTTCAGAGTCCCAGTCAACTGTTCTGGTGGACTCCATTTCAGGCGGATAGTAGAAGCATCTGTAGGTTCATACATGAAGTCCTTTGGTGCTGATGGGACTGGAAAAAGTAAATAAAGGATACTTGTATAATGTATACAATATCAAATTAACAGAGTGTAACAACTAGTACTGCATTATTAGACAATTCATATTTCAAAATAAAAACAAATTGCACAAGCACAAAGTAAATGTTTGTGGAATCATGTATGTATCACATTGAACACATCTTATCCCGAAGCTGCTGTGGATGGCATGTACATACATACCAAGCCCACTTTGAGTTTAATTTATTAATTATTTTTGCACATAGGTTGCACGACAAGTAAAAAGTTACCAAAGAGTCAATTATGAGTACTACTTCCCTCTCCTGTTCACTCTTCTCCTTGATTTTCAAAATTATTTCCCGGTATTTTTTATTTCTTAGTAATGTCAATAACACTAAAATAATCATACAGTCTAAAATAAAAATAGCAACATCAATATTGATAGCATTCTTAAAAAGGCATTTTTCATGGAAACTCAAGCAAAGGTGAAATCAGGTAATGTAATAAGGTCTAGTAATTGCCTCTTTGTGGCTAAGCAATTGCAGAACCATCAATGTGCAGAGATATTTCATAAAACAATACTACAGTGAACACATTTTCCTGGAGACATTAAGTTATGCTAGACTATCTACTCTAAGCCACAGGGAAACCTTTACACAAGTATTATAAAACCCTCAATAGCTCAGAGATCCTATGTTCTATTACTTGTATAACCCAAAAGTAGTGACTTGAATCTGTATCATCTTAAAGCCTTGAGCAAACTTGCAAGTGTTGTTGCCTGCTCTACCCATATTCCATGCCCATTCCTCATGTGAAAGCAGCATTCCCCTCTCATAATTCCCTCATATCATATGAATGTGAGGAAAGATGCAAATGTCCAATGCGTTCTTGTTAATATGCATGTGCTTATTCATTTGTGTGTATATGAATCCAAGTATGCTTGAGTATGAGTACATAATGTGTGTACAAGTAATAGATAGGCAGAGATTATGTGTATTAAGATTTGTGTCTTGAGCTAAATACAAAAAAACAAAGAATAATCCTGCATTCATCATATACTTACTGAACAATATGTAATACTTACGGTTACCCATAGTCATAGCCTGAACAGGATGACTAAAAGGGCCATATGTCTTCTCTGATTCATGAGCACGAACACTGAATTCATATGTGCTGAATGGTTTCAAGCCTGTGATTACAATCTCTGTAGTGTCACTGCAAGAAAATGGGAGAATTAATATATCTAAAACTGACATGCAAAGTTCTTTTTAGTGCTGTCTTTATTAATTACCATTACTGCGCAAAAGTTGGCTTGCCGCAAAAGTATAACAAATTTTAATTCATGAAGCAAAAGCATATATAGGAATAAATGAAATGTGATGGCTCACTTAATCAACATCTACCTGGTTTATTTGTACAACAGAACAACTACAACAATAATAAAAATCTAGAAAAGATGAAGATGACCTCTTGCCGAAGCATATATACAGTATGTGCTACTACAATAGATCTACTGATTTTTCAATACATAAACCTCAAACAACACTACTATTTTCAGACTAAATAGTATCCATAATAGGCAATTCCATCATAACTAATTGTTATGATGGTAGCATTATATCTGAATTTCAATTATTAGTGTGTTATCTTTGTAGAAAATTATTTTCTAGCCATATATCAATGCTCTCAACTAAGGTATGAAGAGAACTAAAATCTGACTGTGATCTGACAACTATTAATACTTTGATATATAAGGAACAGTCCCCATGTAACCTTTGGCAGGTTGTTACATAGGGCTGAACTTCCTTCCTCAATTGCAGCTGTAATATATTAAAACACTTAAATATTACTATTACAGAAATTTTATAAAACCTAAATGAATGAACAATACAAAAAAGATACTTCTATGATATGAATAATGATATCTAACAACACAAAAATTTACCTTCGGACAAATGTTGCCTCTGCTGGATTTGGTGAATGTGTGATCTGCTGGTACTTGACAGTGTAATAAGCTGCTCCATCCTGACCTTCTGTAACCCGCCAGGACAAGTGAACGCTTGTCTGAGACCGAGAATCTGCCTCCAGCTGAAAGACATACTCTTGTAATATTTCTTTTTCAAGTTATGGAAATTGTGAAAATGTTGAGAAGAGAAAGAAATCAAAACTAAGTTAGCTGTCCTTTTCAATACCACTTATCATGTCTTGACATTTTTTTCATTTATCAATGGTCCTGGGTACACCTGGGTACAGGCACTATCCACTGTGGTTCTGTTCTATTGATTTTGTTTATAAACAGATGTCTTCACAAATGCTTAGATGGCAAGTCAATCACTAGCCATACATCTTTTTATCTATTTACCTCACTACTTAAATATTTCAAAAAGTTGTTATTTCTATCATTACATTTATGTTATATATGTATAAAAAAAAAAACTAAGAGAAAAAATAATTTAGAATAAGTTGAAAATAAGTAGAAATACAAGGCAAAGGAGGAAAATTTTCAAAAAGGGTTCATAAGTTTGATTACAGTATGCTCAAATAAATATCACCTATATGCTATTCTGCTTAAGGGGGCTGTCACACTCGAGAACAAAGTTCATCAATTATAATCGGATTTTCGTGATTTTTTAATGTTATATATATATATATATATATATATATATATAATATATATATATATATATATATATATATATATTAATATATATATAATATATATTATATATATATATATATATATATATATATATATATAATATATATATATATATATATAATATATATATATATATATATATATATATAATATATATATACAGAGATTTACACCACCAAGTTTCAAATCATTTAGATAATAAACAATGAAGTTATATATATATATATATATATATATATATATAATATATATATATATATATATATATATATATATATAAAGTCTTTTAAAAATCACAAAATTTTATATTTGACACTTATCCATTGACCAAACTTGTTGAAAAAAATACCACAAATACTCTATATCAATACCTAAATCTTGTATAGATAGATCTTTCAATTTCCTCTTAGTTTAGTGGGATTTTTTTTTTTTTTTTTTTTTGGAAATGTTCACTCCTATGAATATAAAGCATAATATATGGACTTCTATCATATTTATTCAGCTTTGAAATTATCTAAATCCCATTAGAATCACCTGAGTAACAGTTATGGAAAAACATTAAGATGTTGACAAAGGTGTAGTTTTTAGATATTGGGCTTTGAAGTTGAGGATACTTTTTCCAGCATTTTTTTTTCTTTTTTTTCCCTTTTTCTTTTTATTTAGAATTCTGATCTCTGCATCAATCTTGATGCATTATATGGCATTCACATGGCATTCTGAAGTGTAGCTGGTACCTGGTCACCCCCATTTGCAAGGTACTAATTGCACTAACTGTACATGGTTGTTGAAATGCAGTCTTGCCATCACATGCTTCGCAGTGCCTTTACAGTACCTCATGAGGCATTTCATGCGAATAAACAACTGCTGCAGCTGTGATTGTGAGATGTATTTCAAATCATAAGGTTTATCAATTTCAGGAATAACATCTATCATTAATTCTGTCCTCTTAGTGTGCTATAAAGACGCATCAGGGGTATGTCTATGTGAGGGTGTAGAGGAGGCAGTTGATGCGCAGCCTCTCCCTCTGACTCTCTTGTGGTGACTGCCAATGTTGTCTCCTAGTCGTAGCTATCAGGTGATACAGTAAGCAGAGTTGCCAGCTAGCTACAAGAGAATACCAAACAAAACAAAAAATTCCAAAAAAATAACTTAGTTTAGTTTATTTGCTCAAACACAATATTGCAACCATCAGAGCGAGAGCAGGGGAGGGGGGTCAGAGATTTAGTCAATACTTCTATATTTTTACGTATTTAGCAGGAATATTACGTCATGGATTGCCAAAGCCCAATAGATTACAGGAGATTAGAATAATAATAAAAAAAAATAAATAAATAAAAAAAATAAATAAATAAATATATTCATTGAAATTCAGCCTGACGGCCCCCTTAAGTTAAAAAATCATGGTGAATATACATTAATAACAAACAAAACCAGTAATCAGTGATTTAAGTTCAAGCTTAGCTGGCACCATATTTTGATAGGTTAAGAGATATACATATCTGATGAAATTAAAAGAAAATGAAAGGAAAGGAAAAACGAAAAATAATCTTAATCATTATAATGAATCTGTTACCAAGGCAAGGTAACTAAATCTCATAGGCCACTTTCCCTTCAAGTTAATATCCATATTACCTACTGACCTAACCAAGATTTTCACTTACATATGAAAAATACTTACCCTATCAATGCTGGAAGTAGTGTTTGCGAACTGTGTGCTTTGGTTAGGGAGACGAGTGTGAATCACGTTCACAGTCGGCTCGCCATCACCATTGGCACTTAATGCCTTCACCTGGACTTCATACCAATCAGCTTCTGCAAATGGAAAACTTTTGCTAAATTTCACTGCACAAAATGCAACTGAATAATTGATACTATAACTCTTAGAAGATACAGTCAATAAGATCTGTTGGAAGGGTAGATTACCCACAGCTAGAACCAAGAGATTTTTTGAGGAAGAAGAATAGACTATACTTTCATATGCTGAATGCAAGAACTTGCTTTGTTGGAAAATACCTTACTGTACCCTTTGTCACAGCGACTTCAGCCAGGGCAGTGCTGCAAAGCTTGCTTTACCAAATCTTACAGACCTAAACTGACTTTTATTAATTTTTCATTGGGCATCACAACTAACATCTATTGAGGATGGTACAGATACCAAACCCCAGAGACATCATACAATACAGTCACTGTTGCTTGCCAAGTTTTTATCTTTCTTACTATATATAACACCAAAATAAATAACTGAGGACTACTGCAACTCCATTAACATTAAATGAATCACTTATAATAAAAATCACATAAAGTACACTTTCTAATTACTATTTTACCTTTCTATACTGATTTTACAAATTTGGAGGACAAAGTAAGGCTTTCCTCCTTTTTGTGCTCCTTACAACTGTCATTTTCTTCTCAAACGAAATGAAATTATAATCTTTTTCACAATTTCTTCTTTATTCTGATTAGATGTGGTAGTTACATTGACTTTAAGTCACATTACTCCGACTTTTTTTGTGTATCTGGATCATTGTAAGCACCATATCCAGACTGTCAGATTTTTGTAGCCTTGATTACCATTTTCTTTGAATTAGGAGTAAAACAAAAGCTGTTTACATTTTATGAATTTTTTCTAGGCTGGTATATCTTTCCCATTTTCATGTTTTCAGTTATAGAATATGAAAAATAAAGAAATCCTAAAAAATTTTGAAACTTATTATATAAAGAAAGTAGAGAGACAAATAAAAGATCAGTCAACTTTTGTTTTAAATTCATATAGGTGGTAAAAAAGGTGAGCCAATTTTTTGGTGCAAAAGGTTCAAACTAGCAGTGTGAGGAGGATGTGAAAAACCTACTTGCCCTAGATTCTGATGGACATTTCATACTTATGCATGATTTCCAGGTCATTTTGTATAGGTAAGCAATTAAGAAATGAAAATGAAATGCCTTTACAATATTTTCCCCTTGCCACTGCTCTCTTAGCTACCCACAGAGTCCAAAATATAGACTTCTGTAAATTACTGCAGCTGTAGAGAAGGGCCAAGTTTACTGCTTACATCACAAATCTTTGGTATAACAGCCAAATTTCAGTAATCTGGTAGCTATGCTTCATATCAATAACAATTCTGCAATCCATTAACTTTGGGGAATCTGGCTTAGTACTGAAAAGTTATCATCATCATATATATACATTATTTTTTAATTCACATTGTTCACTGACTGACTTGATCACATCTTTGAAAATCTTTCCACTATCTGAAAACAGCTTCAGAACCTTGTAGCTTCTAACACTTGATGTGCTTCACATATCAAATCAAAGCAGTATAGAGGAGATTCCACAATATCTCTCACAATACATCTGCAGGACATGTGAGTGTTAAGTGCTAGGCTTGAATACCAAACTATGAACAGAATGAACTTCGGAATCATACTAATCTATCTGTGATTTGTGATGCATCTCATATTCACAAAGTTGCATTTCATCTAGTCATTAGAATCTTATTAGTTTAAAACTGGATGATGCTACTTTATATTATAGCAATCTAAGTGGGTTAAACTAAATAAAAATGCAAGACATTTGCAAAGTATCATGAAAATATATGTCTGTGTACGTATACAATCTTTTACTTGTAACTTTTATTAACAAATAAAACATATATTAATTGCAAATTGTGACAAGTAATAGTACACCTAATTCCATGATTAAGCAAATTTTTACTCACCCAAGCCAGTTATGGTATATGATTTCTGTGTTGGTAGGAAAGTGATGGGTTCATTCCACGTCTGATCCTGCCGTTTGTATTTTAACCAGAAACCTTCAATTTCTACTTTGTTTTCTGATGAAACCTCCCAGTCCACCTGCAATATTTGAGAGATAAAATCAAAATAATGTAAATTAACTGCTGTAGTCTTAGTATCAGTACAAACACCCTTATATTTTCCATTATCAGTACAAACATCGTTATATTTTCCACTGTCAGTACAAACACCCTTATATTTTCCATTATCAGTACAAACACCCTTATATTTTCCATACCTTAATTGCCAGCCTTCCTGCTGAATCACTGCTAGTATCATTGAGCACCTTCAGCGTGACCTCAGGGGGAAAGGGTACATCCTGGGTTGGTTCACCCATCTTCTGTTGTATCCAGGGCCAGCCACTCTTGGTTGGATACCCAGCCTTTGTTGCTGCCAGCACCTGTACTTCATATTTCTTTCCTGGATGTAAATCAGTGATCTGAAACTCGTGCACATCTGCCAAAACCTGGAATATGTATGAACAATTATATTACCTAAATGTTACTGCATGGCTCAGTTGGTTTTAAATGTTCTATTCTATTCAGAGGATCAGTCACTGGTTGTGCCATAAGCAGGCTCATGGTTGGTGTGAGGAAGGTTATCCAATTAAAATGGCTGGAATGCCATGTCCAAAGAGGGTTACTATCATGCATGCAAAGATGACAGCATGCAACTCCACAACTAATCAGATTTGAAATATCTAAATATATCAAATATGTATTGATTAATCATTTGTGGTGTTCTTATACCTGGATGTCACACAAGAAGAATGATCCAAGATGTCCAACTAAAATAAATATGATAAATACTAAAACTGATAATATGATATAATGCAGGATACTAATATCAAGTTTTCTTATAGTAGTATTTGCATCTACTTAAGACTTTGCAATCTATCTGTTTTGGGTGGCAATATTATTGATAAAAGATTTTATCTTCACAATGGGAGAACTTTCACACCTGTCTCTAAGCCTATTGCTGTAACAAGAACACCAAAAATGCTACATAAGAAATATCAAACTTATTCATTTCTATTGTCAACTTTCAACTCAATAAACTCAAACCTCTTGGACATGGTAGTAGTGATGGTTTCGTTTTCTCCACAGAATTTTGTATCCATGGATAGTGCCTCGAGCTTGCTCTGGTGCCAATGGGGTCCACTTGACCAAGAGAGTTGTGGGCGACAGAGGAACCAGCTGCACAGCTGGGACATCAGTAGGGACTACAGGACAGAAAAATAATTTTGTCAATTATGAAAAGTACCTTTGAAGAAAAACAACATATAAATGCACATGTATACATGTGTAACTTCCCTTTCTGTCTGTATCAATTCAAAAGCTAATACAATGGCCTGTTTTCAATATACATTTGATATCAATGCTAAGTCTGAATTGATAGTATCATATAGTGTAAGCGGAATGTTATTTCCACCAGCTGGGTTATAAATAACCTTTAACAATATATTTTGAAAAGTAACCAATGCAGTTATAGTTAAACAGATCTTTGAATTGAATATATTAATGTAAATCTGTGCACATAATTCTTGCTTTAATTGGACGTCATGCTCTGAGATTCCCAGCGATTGTGTGATTGAAGCGTTTCTGTGGTATTCATGAACTTCACCATTAGTTTGAAGTCATAACTTATAAGGCCTGATACCATGATTGAAAACCCATGTATGTATATAACTTTTAATGTCTGTAATAGAAATACTGAAGGTCTTGTAAAGTATATCCGTACACATATACTACTATTGAAAATAAATCTTGAATCACACGCATCTATCTATTTGGCAATATACAGAAATAAAATTAAAAATAGAGCAATTTTTATCAATATTTTCTAGACTCTGAATTCGATTTGACAAAGGTTGGGAGAGGGAGAGCATGGGTTGCAGTAAACAAGGGGTTAACTCATTGATCCCAGGAGTGGAAGTAAAATTGCACTCTTCTCTGAAGCTGTTTTAAAACTACTTTCTTACACATAACTCCACAAGCACTTACTCACCAAAGAGCCATGAACTATGCACTTGACTGACATTATTTACCCTTCAATTCTTTGAATTAATAGAATCATTTAATTTATTAATATTCTTTTATTATTAATGTTAATCATTATTATCATTACCACTATTATGAACATTATCATTATCTATTATTATCATTGCTAATATTATCATTATCATATATATAGCTACACACGTTATCATTAACACTAATATCATTACAATTGATACTATAATTTCTATTATCATTATCATTATTATTACTATCATCATCATCATCATCATCATTATTATCATTATCATTGTTATTGTTACTATTATTGTTTTATCATTACTATCATTTCCTTACAATCCTTGTTTCCTTTTATCCTTATTGTCATTACTTTAATCATCATTATCATTATTATCAATACTGTTATTACCACTATCATCATTATTGTCATCATTGTTTTTATTCTTTTCATCATCATTATTATTGTCATTATCAATACTAATAATATCAATATATTCATTACCATAATCATTAACATAAAAATCACCAATGTTATAATTTTAATAATGACTTTTATTATAATAATTTTCATCATTATTACTATGTTATTACTATCATTATCATTATCATCATCAACATCATTGACCATCATTATTATCATAATCATTATCATTATTATGACCAATATTGTTTTTTGTTATTGTTGTATTTTTTTATTATCTTATTATTATTATTAGGATCATTATTTTCATCATATTCATTATTATTACTATCATTATTATCATCCTCATTATCATCATTATTATCATTATCATCATTAATACTATTATCATAATTACTATTACTATAATATCACTAATTATCATTACTCCTATTACTATCATTATTATTATTATCATTATTACTATCATCATCATTACTATTACCACTATTATCATTATCATCATTACTACCATAAAAATAATAATAATGATAAATAATAATAATAATAATAATAAAATAAAAACATGATAATAACAATAATAATGATAATAACAATAATAATAATAACTAGAAGCACTCAGAGTGCATACCTCTGCAAATGCAATGGGGTCACTGATGCAATAAAAATATTCACACTTGAAGATTTACATTAACCAGTGACATCTGTGTTCATCTATCTCACAATGCATATGAATCCTTTAAAAAAAATCACTACCAAACTTTATAGACATCTGAGTTATGGTAAGACACATCTCTGGCAAAAATTTAATAAAAATCTGTTCATAATATTTTGTATCATCCCTCCTTATGTGGCTGATACCTAATTACTCCTAGAAGGAATTTCATGAATAAAACCACTGCTTACTCACCATCCTCAGCTGTGCGGAACACCAGGCTTTCTGAGATTTCTGAAGGGAAGCTGCTGTAGGCTCTAACAAAGGCTGTATAATTTTGTTGGGCTTGAGACCTTCTAGAAGGAGTGATGTATTTAGTGACACTTCCTGCCTCTCCATTGCACTGCTCTCTGTATTGGAGATACATATTCATTCAGAGGAGGGCAAATACAGAGGAGTATATATCATCAACAAATTTTAAGAATATTTGGAACATAATCCATGATGATATGCTGCAGATATACCAGCAACGAGTAAGGGAAAGAGAATTACCAGATTCAACATAATGTACTGAGTAGGCTTTGATCTTGCCGTTGAGTGGGTGGACTGCATCCCATGTCAGGAGAACCGAGGTAGACGAAAGAACTACATAATTTAAGTTCTGGGTGGTTCTGGTTGGTTCTTGACGAGTTGATTACCACGTGGGCCCAACTTGAGCTGAGGATCAAGAGTCAAATGTTATAGAGATAACTAGAGGGCATTACGATCTCATACTTCTTTTACAGATAATAAAACTACCTTTACATTACTAGATACAAATAATCCATGATGAAATAGTACTGCTGTAATCAATATTAAGTTCTACAGAAGTGTTTTCTACTTTCATGCTTTTCAACAAATCAGTTACTTGAGTACCCCAACAGCTATATCAAATTAAGCAACACTTACGCATATCCCGCATCGTTGATAGCGAGGCACTGATACATTCCTTTGTCAGCGGTTATTGAATTGTAGAAGAGGAGCTGGTTGGTGTCTGACTGAACAATCCGTCCTTTAATGAAGACAGGCCGCCCATTTTTGTACCATATGACGCGGGGAGTTGGATGACCCGTTACTGAGCAGTTTAGACGGGCTGTCTTGGCTGACAAGGTATTTACGGGCTTTGGAGAATCAATGACTTCAGGTGGGGTCATCACATCTAACTCTCTTTCCTGTAAGTACAAGCAAAATTTCTTTCATTAGAGAAACACATCAGTGATCAATCTAAACACATTAATCACCACAAAATCTTAATAATAACATAGAAAAATAAATGTGTAAATATGCATACTAAAACAAGAAACATTTATATGTCTATGCATGTGTGCACATATGAATGATGAAGTGTGTTTGTGTACTATGCATAATTACAAAAAGAATATGAGACATACCCTAGAAACACTGGCTTCTCTTTTGGTGTTTGGGTTATACGACTTTGCAGTACAAGCATAACGTCCAGAGCTTGTGTTCTGAACATTGGACAGAACAAGTGTTCCTGCCCAATCATGGATACACATTGACTCCCATCTTCAAGTCCTCCAGCCCGCACTTTCATTCACTGTTGAAATGGAAAATATCATACAGTAGAAGAAATCAGCACAGTACATTCTATACATCCAACTGCAAATATATACATCTGGAAGCTGAAGAATTACACAATGAGATAATGATAATACAACAGAGGCATTTGTATTGGTACTTACATTTTCGTTGTCCATGAGATTGTTGGGAGTGGCACACCTGTTGCAAGACACTCGATGATTGCATTTTCCCCCTGCACAACTCGAACAGGTCTTTAGGGAGAGAAGGAGGGGAGTTTGTAGTTGTCCCCCTCACCCCTTTCCAGTACTGTTACAGAAATGCCGTTGCTGTGGCGTTCTTTTCCTGCAACTGAATTTGTCGCCCGGCACCTGTAGAGATAGAAATGTGATCTTTCAATAAGCATGCAGGGAAAGGTTGTTAAAATTTTATTTAGCCTAATACTCAAGATTGGGCATTTACATTACAAAGACATAACAAACCTAGTCCAGACCAAGATAAATTGTATCAAAACAGTTGTGCAACAATGTATCTGTACTATCCCGATACAGCTGCGCTACAAATTAGCAGTATTCCAAATTTGTTGCTACACAGTTTTGCGACTGTTGCAAAAGTCGCAAAACACAAGAAACTTTGTCTAGCGATTACTGTTTAACAGTCATGAAACATTTGCACCACTTTGTATCTGATTTGTTTTACACACTACTGCACATCCAGATCATTCTGAAATTCGTGCGGTAATAGTGCTCATCACTGTAATATCACTCAAGGAAGAGGCTACTGCAGCATATGCTGGAAAATATAAAATACAAGGCTGCAGAAAGTTCTAAACTACATAAGAATGTGTATTTGCATGATAGGCTATAGCATTTCTTTTTCTTTTTAACAGTAGTAAGCTATGTGAGTCAATACAACTGTGACAGGCAACCAGAAAAGTTATTTTTCTTTTGACAGTAGTAAGCTATGCGAGTCAATACATCTGCATGATATATTACTTTTTTTTTTTTTTTTTTTTTGAAGGCTTTTTCATTTTTCTACTTGTGCAATGACTCAGGACTTGGCTTTAAATATGTAGTGCTGAGTTTGCAGTATACATGTAATTTCACACATGTAGATTACGGACCAGTTATTACCAATGGAGCATGAGTCAAGTTGCTGGAAACCTTGTATTGTGTTTCCCATATCTAGTAGGAAACAGGGAAACACAAAATCCTGTCTCAGAATGTTTGAGTAAACATTGCGAAACAAATTTGGATTATTCCTCAACTTCTGAGCAACTCTTTCGATACTCTGTTGCGGGAATGTTGCTCATAAAGTATCTTGGTCTGGATGTGGTTATGAAATCATATTTCACTATTGTTTTGAAACAGTTGTGAGACATTTTTGGATTTGTTGGGGAACTGTTTCAGATACAGTGTACAATGTATCTTGTTCTGGACTAGGCTTCATACAATCTAATGCTGAAAATAATGCCTAGTCTTTTATCTTGTTTACAAAAGCTGGATGCTCTACCTATACTTGAGTACATAATGCCTAGCAACACTTTTAAATCCTGTATAATTAATAATTCTCGCTCTTCAAATTGGAAAAGGAATAGCAAAAATAGGAGCCAACAATTATAGCCAAAAGCCCTTGATGAAAGGCCATACATCTTGATCTTCCTTCAAGAGTCACCATAATTACTAGTGATGCTCAAGTAAAAGGGGTCCTTCCTAGGTATGAATGCAACTTCTCACCTTCAAATTAACTCTCATATTCAGTGCAAAAAGGTTTAGGCAGCCTATCACACTCTTTTCAAATTTTTATTCTTTATAATTAAAGTATCAAGAGTCTTTGAACATAACATACAATCAATACACACTACAGTGTTTCATGAATGAAATTTGCCTATGGTCTATCTTCTTGTTAGGAGCGATGGAGTTTGTATCTTTAACCATTATTAATTCAAAGGATTTTTGGTAAGTGAACCATGAGAAGTTTCTTCTTGCTTGTTTGTGTATATGTAATGTAAGATTTGTCAGTTGATAAGGGAAAGTTGCAGGTCCTTAAGAGTCAGTCTATTAACACTGAGAACTGAATGTAAATAAAAAGTAAGTTGAGGGCACTTACAGAGATTAATAATGATCATCAATTATACTGTTCACACTATAATCACATGAAAACCAACCCATGGGTCAGATCCAAGAAAAATTGCAACTCATGTTTCGGCCACAATATAAGCAAAATTGTGTGAGATCTTTACTGTACAAATCTAGACAACATTGTGAGGATGTTGGTTCTATTTTGTTTTTAAATAATAAAACTCTTATTGAGTTAAAAAAAGTTATTTATATGGAAATGCAAATTCAAACCAACCAGTACATCTTAATGAGATATTGGGTTTATAAGACCAATATTATGATAGTAATAATTTTGTGGTGATTTGTTTCTGTGTAATAATTGTTGTGCAAAATGGGTTTTCTAAATTTCATAATTGACAGGTATGTTCTGTAACATAGCTATGAAGGGTCTTTTGACTCTTTCTTTTCAAGTGCTGTTAAGAAGACCCTAGTAAAGCAAAATACACAATTCTAGTAAAAAAAATTAGAGAGCTAATTTGACATTCCAAGAAAAAACAAAATACCTTGAAATAGGTTAGCAAACAGACTGGCAGAGTGTCAAAGTTTAAGCACGTCTTCTTCATGTTTCTGTGACATTTCCAGCTAGACATTTCATTCCCGAGACTTAACACAACATCATCAACGATATTAGCACGTCTTTTTTCTTTTACACACATGCACACACACAAAAAAAAAAGGGGAGGGGGGGACAGGGAGAAAGGCATCCAACTTGATACATCTTGAAGAACAGGTGTGTGCTGTGTTACATTGGTGTAGGGAGGCTGGAAAACACTTGTGAGAACACCTATGACCGACTGGCAAATGAAATGAGTTGTCTTCAAAGTTGCATCAAAACTACTTCTTGGATAAGGACAAATTGCTAGTTACAGCTGCTACTGTTGCAAACTGCATGGGGCTTGAAGCCATTGACATTTCTGATCATCAGACCCATAAACAATCTCATGCAATCCTGTCTATGTCAACTCTACACCTGAACGCTCTATATTGCTTGATCTTTATACTGCTTGATCTTTCACATAATTTGTTTAATAGTAAAAGATGATAATTTTTTTGCTTGTTCTGTGCAGTGTGTGTGTGTGTAGTGTGTGTGTGTGTGTAGTGTGTGTGTGTAGTGTGTGTAGTGTGTGTGTAGTGTGTGTGTAGTGTGTGTGTAGTGTGTGTGTAGTGTGTGGTGTGTGTGGTTGTGTGTGTGTGTGTGTGTGTGTGTGTGTGGTGTGTGTGTGTGTTGTGTGTGTGTGTGTGTTGTGTAGTGTGTGTGTGTGTGTAGTGAGTGTGTGTGTGTGTGTGTGTGTGTGTGTGTGTGTGTGTGTGTGTGGTGTGTGTGTGTGTGTGTGTGTGTGTGTGTGGTGTGTGTGTGTGTGTGTGTGTGTAGTGTGTGTGTGTGTGTGTAGTGTGTGTGTGTGTGTGTAGTGTGTGTGTGTGTGTAGTGTGTGTGTGTAGTGTGTGTGTGTGTGTAGTGTGTGTGTAGTGTGTGTGTAGTGTGTGTGTAGTGTGTGTAGTGTGTGTGGGTGTGTGTGTGTGTGTGTGTGTGTGTGTGTTTGTGGTGTGTGTGTGTGTGTGTGTGGTAGTGTGTGTGTAGTGTGTGTGTAGTGTGTGTGTAGTGTGTGTGTGTGTGTGTGTGTGTGTGTAGTGTGTGTGTAGTGTGTGTGTAGTGTGTGTGTGTAGTGTGTGTGTGTAGTGTGTGTGTGTGGTGGCGTGTGTGTGTGTGTGTGTAGTGTGTGTGTGTGTGTGTGTAGTGGTGTGTGTGTGTGTGTGTAGTGTGTGTGTGTAGTGTGTGTGTGTGTGTGTGTGTGTGTGTGTGTGTGTGTGTGTGTGTGTGTGTGTGTGTGTGTGTGTGTGTGTGTTTGAGTAGTGTGTGTGTGTGTGTGTTAGTGTGTGTGTGTGTTAGTGTGTTAGTGTGTGTGTGTGTGTGTGTCTCTGTGTGTGTATGTGTGTAATGTGTGTGTGCGTGTGTGTGTGTGTTGTGTGTGTGTGGTGTGTGTGTGTGTGTGTGTGTGTGTGTGTGTGTGTGTGTTGTGTGTGTGTGTGTGTGTGTGTGTGTGTGTAATGTGTTGTAGTGTGTGTGTGTGTGTGTGTGTGTTGTGTGTGTGTGTAATGTGTGTGTGTGTAATGTGTGTGTGTGTAATGTGTGTGTGTGTGTGTAGTGGTGTGTGTGTAGTGTCTGTAGTGTGTGTAGTGTGTGTAGTGTGTGTAGTGTGGTGTGTGTGTGTGTGTGTGTGTGTGTGTGTTGTGTGTGGTGTGTTGTGTGTGTGTGTGTGTGTGGTGTGTGTGTGTGTGTGTGTGTGTAGTGCATGTGTGTGTAGTGCAGTGTGTGTGTGTGTGTGTGTGTGTGTGTGTGTGTTGTGTGTGTTGTGTGTGTGTGTGTGTGTGTGTGTTGTGTGTGGTGGTGGTGTGTTGTGTGTGTGTGTGTAGTGTGTGTGTGTGTGTGTGTGGTGTGTGTGTGTGTGTGTAGTGTGTGTATGTGTGTGTAGTGTGTGTATGTGTGTGTAGTGTGTGTATGGTGTGTAGTGTGTGTATGTGTGTGTAGTGTGTGTATGTGTGTGTAGTGTGTGTAGTGTGTGTGTGTGTGTGTGTGTGTGTGTGTGGTGTGTGTGGTGTGTGTGTGTGTGTGTGTGTGTGTGTGTGTGTGGTGTGTGTGTGTGTGTGTGTAGTGGTGTGTGTAGTGTGTGTGTAGTGTGTGTGTAGTGTGGTGTGTAGTGTGTGTGGTGTGTGTAGTGTGTGTGTGTGTGTAGTGTGTGTGTGTGTGTAGTGTGTGGTGTGTGTGTAGTTGTGTGTGTGTGTAGTGTGTGTGTGTGTGTAGTGTGTGTGTGTGTGTAGTGTGTGTGAGTAGTGTGTGTGTGTGAGTAGTGTGTGTGTGT